CTTCCGAGGAGTGGCAGGTGGGTTTGAACCGCCAGCCGTCTGGTTAGCAGGCAAGTGTCTTAGCCACTCTGCTACCAGAGCTCCCATATAGTAATTAGTCATTTATAATAACTGCTCCAATTATCTTGTAAATAATCAAAGGCATTTCACACTTTTGTTTATCTGCATTGTGTTAGCAGAAAATGTTGCATATTAACAAAAATTTTCAACAAAAGTTGTTGCTGTAAGTTGAGATACTAACTAAATATCAGCTTCCTGTGACTGAATTGTTGCTTTTTTTTAAATATGTAAGATAACAAAAATTTATTTATTTAATAAATACCTACACTGAATTGAAAAGAATTATTATCCCCACTGACAATATAATAAGCTCTATAAAACTATTTAATTCTTAAAATATATAATATAGCAGTATTTCAGAATTTCATCAAGCAACCATATGAAAGAGGCTTACAACAACAAATTGATATTAACTCTGTATGTTTTGTTATTGGAAGACATTAAAGTTTTCAAAAAAAAAAAAGCTAACAATTCTGTAATTCAAGAAGATTAAAGTGCAAATTTGTTGGATCTCAAAGATATAATTCCAGTATTTCTTCTATCTGAAAAGGATGTGAGGAACATGAATTTTGAAAAACAAAGGTTAAAAAATTATTTTTAGTAAATTAAGTATAATGAATATATAGTATTCATTTTGACAGTAAAATTGATCAAATCTTTGCCAATGGGCCAATAAGTTGAGAAGAATTAAAATGCTATTTTAAAACACTAAAATTTGATGGCTTTTGGACATTAAAAATAGAAAATTTCTGTAAATAGCTGTTACTTCTGGAATGCTGGGAAAACACATTTCAATATTATGAAATTAAAACTTAAATACATAAAAATACAATGAAATTGATCATCAATGAACACCAAAACTGGTGTAAATAATTATCCATAATTCTCTGCAATTTTTATTCTTTTTCAATCTGTCATTTCACAACATGTCCAGATGCAGATATATTTTATCCTGCTTAGAACTCATGTTTCTTGAATTCATATCTTATTCACATCCCATTAGTCCTAAAAAATTCTTAGCCATAATTTCTTTAAATATTACCCTTTCCCATTTCTCATTAATATCTCCTTCTAAAGTGAGATATTAGCTTAATGCATGACTTTCTCATTCTATCTTTCCATAACATCTCATTTACATTTAGGATCTCTTTACGCTACAATTGATGTGATTTTTCTTAGATTTATTTCTCACTTCCTGATTTTTCTCTTTAGCTGCATTGAATATGCAAAAAAAGCAAAGGAATGCAAGCATAGGCTCTGGAATTAGCTTGACTTTAAATCACATTTTTGCCATCTCTGAGTTTCTTGACCTTGAATAAAATGACTTTTCTGTGCCTTAGTTTCCTCATCTTAATTTTAAAGACAATAATAATACTACAACCTCATAAGATTTTCTGAGAATTAAAAGTGGTTAAAATAATACCTTGTAAATAGTAAATGTTTGCTTTGAGGGGTCTGTTCCTGTGGGTTTTGCATTGCTCCTGCCAGGTTCCCCAGAATAATCAATGGTCAAATACTACTTGCTATGTCAATTTCTCACTATGAAGTTTTTCCAAAGAAAAAACATGGGTAATAAAAAGTGAAACCTTAGATCCTTGTAAAAAGTAGGCTTAGGATGATAACTGTCAAATGAGACTGTTTCCACTACCTCAGGCAAAGTTCCTTGTCTTCCTGTAATGTATGACAAGATGCTTTCTCTGTGGAGTTCCATTATGATGGGAATTGACTTTTGAAGTTCCCTGTTTTATGTGGGGCTCTCATTTCTAACATCTTGCTTACCTTGGGCCATGCCCCAAAGTATCAGCATTCATTAAGGGCAGGCTACTAGAAGTGGTCTTTGTATGGAGGAGAGACACACTGTCAGTAACTTAAAAACAATAAACCCAACTGAAAGTTGGTAATTTTTATAGCACTATACATTGATGACTCTAAACAATAGCAGAGAGAAAATATTCTTCCCCCAAAAACAAAGCAAAACATCTCTTGGTCTGTGATGTACACTATTGCCTGCATCTGAGGTGGATGACTCTCACTGTCCCATTTCAGTAAATCACTAATCCTGAGGGTGTTGAAAACCAAGCCTTTCATGTAAAGAGTTCCACAAAGCCTCAGAGAAGCAACAGCAGCAAATGAGAAATCTATTTTTTGTTTGTTTCCTTTGTTTTTGACACCTAGGAATGTAACTTTCTCTCTTGTACACTTAATTATGCATTCAAAACAATGTTTGCTGGATTTTCCCTTACATTTCCTGGTGTTTATAGAGAATGAGAGATTAAGTAGCCTTGCCTATGGTTGTGAACTGAATTGTATTCCTAAAGAGCTATGTTGAAGTTCTAGGCTCCTTCTTCAACATGAGGTGATATTGGAGTTGGGTGGGTCCTAATCCAATAAGTGAAATCTTTATAAAAGAGAAGACATACAGACATAGAGAAGAAAGATAGCTATAGGATAGAGGCAGAATTAGAGTGATGCATCTATATAAGACAAAAGAATGCGAAGGATTGCCAGCCATCACCAACAGCCAGGCGAGAACCACAGACCAGATTTATCATCAAAGCCCTCAGAAGCAAGTGACATGGCAAAGACTCTGATTTCAAATTCCAAGCTCTGGCAGGATAGTGCCTAAGGCACTTGACTGCTAACCAGAAGGCTGGTGGTTCAAACCCACCAGCCACTCCTTGGAAGGAAGGTTGGGTAATCTACTCTCATAGCGACACCGCCTCGGAAACCCAAGGAGGGATCACTATGAGTTGGGGCCGACTCGATGGCACATAACAACAACAAAAAAAACCCTTCAGAATTATGAAAAAATAAATTTCTGTTCTTACAGGAGAAAATAAAACACACACCAAAATCAATGTCACTGAGTCAATTCCAACTCATAGCGACCGACCCCCATTGGGTTTCCAAGGTTGTAAATCTTTACAAAACCAGATTGCCACATCTTTCTTCCACAGAGCAGCTGGTGGGTTAGAACCACGAACCTTGTGATTAGCAGCCAAATGCCTTAACCACTACACCACCAGAGGTCTTTGCAAGTCACCCAACTGCAGTATTTTGTTACAACAGGTCTAGGAAAATAATACACCTATGAAGCTTCTAGGGTTAGAAGCACCCATGTTTTGAAATTATCTAAAATTCAACTATAAAATTGCTCTACACCTTTTCTACTTTGTCTTCAGAACACATCATTTCTATTTGTTTATGGCACTGCTGTTCATGGAACATCTTAAGTTCATTTTCTTTTAGTAACATTTCCAAGTTCAGATATTCTTGCCTGATTTCTTCTCGTTTCTGGAACAAGCAGTTCAGAATTTCTTGAAATCTACCAAAAATAAAACACATCATAAAATCTCATTAATTTTGTGATAAATCATACAAACATTTACTTAAAGAAATGCATGAACAAAAGAGTACACACCACTGAAAATTAGATTCAATGATAAATAGTAAGTAGGTCAGGGTGACTATTTCCTACTCAATTATAAAAATTTAGAAAGGGTTATTAAACTTAATTTTACTAAGTTAATTTTTTTTATTCTTTCCCAAGGAAGGCCATGTTATTAAAATATATACATTGGAATATACACATCACAAGGCTTCCAGGATTACTAATATACTACATTTTGTCTATACTTATGTTTATATTTAATACAGCTGCTTAGCAAAAATATTTTATGTTTGTGGGAAAGGGATGATAATCTTGACTTGTAATCCCAATTCATAAGACTCTAGTTGCTATACAGCACTGTGTTGTATTTTGGTAGCTGGCTCACTGTGAGGAAATAAGCAGTAGGAGGCACAATCACATGGTGCTTTCATGGCCCCCTAGGGAAAGTGAGATAACCAGTTTCCAGCTTCAGAATTTGTTATAGTGAAAACATACCATACGGTTAGGTACCCCCTGTAGGCTGGCATAAGCGTCAACTGACAATACTGGGGCCCAAAACATCCAAGTTTAGAATATAGTAAATGTAGACTAGCTGCTATAGGATGTTTCCTCCAAAGGGCAATACAGATCCAGAGAACGAAAATTAGCAAGTTTGACCCAGATCTCCACCAAGTACCTAAAGACTGTAAACTGACAAACTCTTATGAAAGCCCTGATACCTGTAATCCTGCATCCTCCAGGGTCAGCAGAACATTGGCCAAAGTGGTATTCTTTTATAAAAATATATTTATGCTTTTAAGTCACAGATCAGCTCTGAGGTACAGTGACAGTATAAACAGTCGCATACAGGGAAAAATCTCAAAGGAAAATTAACTGTGAAACGTTTGAAATAAAATTGTAATAAAGTATCTGCATTTAAAAATAAATGTTCTTTGGTTAGAGTTTTAGATATATTTGTAAGTATTTGTGTGGTAAAAACACTGCAAATTTATGTCAGGTGTTCTTAATGAAACTCTACTGGGAATGACTACAAGCCACAACACATTGACTTTACTGCAGTTCTGTCAAACTAATAAATATTTCATAGGAAATAGGCACCGATATTGCAATTTCACTGTATTATATTACAACAAAGTTAATGCCAGTAAACGAATTGATAATATATCTTTAGGTTATACTCAAAGATAATTTTTAACTTCTCTATAACACTTTACCCAAGGACTTAGTGAAATATTTCTCAATTTTCTGGTCCAGAATTATTTTAGTTAGTGGTATTTACTAATTAGGGTGGGAGGAAAGGAATCAGCATCAAAGGTTTCTACCCAAATCCACTGCCACCGAGTTAATTCTGACTCAAGGACCCTAAAAAGGGCAGAGGAGAACTTCTCCAGATGCCTTCCAAGGCTGTAGATCTTTATGGAAGCAGATGCTTCATCTTTCTCCTACAGAGTGGCACGTGAGCTGGAACCTTTTGGTCAGTAGCCCAGCGCTTTAACCACAGTGCCACCAGAGCTCCAAGGTTTTCAGAGACCTTCATTTTAAAAGACTGCATCATTTTTAAAGAGAAAGTGTCCTAAAGGATTGACTAATATTTTCTATTAAAACAGAACAGCTAGAGGAGGCCAGGAAAAGCGGGAGCCGGCAGCAGGCCGGAACAGCTAGTGGAGGCCAGGAAGTGATTGGAGCAGTTTAGAGCAACTAAAAGAGACAAATATGTCCATCAGTTTGTCTTACTTTGGTGGCTTGTGTGTTGCTGTGAAGCTGGAGGCTATGTCACTGGTGTTCAAATGCCAACAGGGTTACCCATGGTGGATAGGATTTGGCGGAGCTTCCAGACTAAGATACATAAGAAGGAAGAGGCCATCCACTTCTCAAATTGGCTGGTGAAAACCTTATGAATAGCAGTGATACACTGTCTGATATATTACTGGAAAACTTTATGAATAGCCTTGAAACACTGTCTGATATAGTGCTAGAAGATGAGCCCCTCAGGTTGGAAGGCACTCAAAATATGACTGGGAAAAAGCTGTCTCCTAAGAGTAGAGCTGACCTTAATGATGTGGATAGAGTAAAGCTTTCAGGACCTCCATTTGCTAATGCGGCATGTCTCAAGATGAGAAGAAACAGTTGCAAACATTCATCAATAATCAGAACATGGAATGTACAAAGTATGAATCCAAGAAAAATGGAAGGTGTCAAAAATGAAATGAAACACACAAAGACTGATGTCCTAGGTATTAGTGAGCTGAAATGGACTGTTTTTGGCCATTCTGAATCAGACAACCATATGATCTACTATGCCAGGAATGACAAATTGAAGAATGGCATGATATTCATCGTAACAAAGAATGTTTCAAGATCTGCCCCCTGAAGTACAATGCTGCCAGTGATAGGATAATATTCATACGCCTACAAGGAAGGCCAGTTAATACTACTGCTATTCAAATTTACACATGAACCTCCAAAGCCAAAGACGAGGAAATTGAAGACTATTACCAACTTCTGCAGTCTGAAATAGAAAAACATACAATCAAGATGTGTTGATTATCACTGGTGATTGGAATGCAAAAGATGGAAACAAAGAAGAATGACCAGCAATAGGAAAATAAGTCCTTGATGATAGGAATAACACTGGAAAACCCATGATAGAATTTTGCAAGACCAATGACTTATTGATTATAATATATACCTTTTGTCAACAACACAAATGGCAGCTATATATGTGGACCTCGGCAGATGGAGTACACAGGAATCAGACTGACTACATCTATGGAAAGAGGTGAAGGAGAAGCTCAGTATCTTTAGCCAAAACAAGGCTAGGAGCTGATTGTTGAACAGACCAACAACTGCTCATTTGCAAATTTAAGTTAAAGCTGAAGACAATTTAAACAAGTCCACAAGAGCCAAAATATGACCTTGAATATATTCCTCCTGAAATTAGAGACCATCTAAAGAACAGATTTGATGTACTGAACACCAATGACCGAAAACCAGAGGAATTGTGCGATTACATCAAGAATATCATCCATGAAGAAAGCAAAAGGTCATTAAAAAGACAGAAAACAAAGAAAAGAACAAAATGGATGTCAGAAGACACTTTGAAACTTGTCCTTGAATGGAGAGTAGCTCAAGTAAATGGAAGAAATAACAAGATAAAAGAGCTGAACAGAAGATTTTAAAGAGCAGCTTGAGAAGACAAAGTCAATTATTATAATGAAATGTGCAAAGACCAGGAATTAGAAAACCAAAAGGGAAGAATATGCACAGCATTTCTCAAGCTGAAAGAGATGAAGAAAAAATTTTAAGTTTTGAGTTACAATAATGAAAGATTTTATGGGCAATATAGTGAATGACACAGGAAAGAGCAAAAGAAGATAGAAAGAATACACAGAGTCACTGTACCAAAAAGAACTGGTCGATCTTCATCCATTTCAGGAGGTGGCATATGATCAAGAGCCAATGGTATTAAAGGAAGAAGTCAAAGCTGCACTGATGGAAGTGGCGAAAAACAAGGCTCCAGGAACTGATGGGATACCCATTGAGATGTTTCAACAAACAGATGTCCTGCTGGAGGCACCCACTCGGCTATGCCAGGAGATTTGTAAGACAGCTACCAGGCCAACTGACTGGAAGAGATCCACATTTGTACCTATTCCAAAGAAAGGTGATCCCACACAATGTGGGAATTATCCAACAATATTATTAATATAATATGCAAGTAAAATCTTACAGATAATTCAAAAATGGTTGCAGCAGTATATTGACAGAGAACTTCCAGAAATGCAAGCTGGATTCAGAAGGCGATGTGGAATGAGGGATACCATTGCTGATGTCAGATGGATCCTGGCTCAAAGCAAAGAATATCAGAAAGATGTTTACTTGTGTTTTATTGACTATACAAAAGCATCCGACTGTGCAGATCATAAGAAATTGTGGCTAACATAGAGAAGAACAGGAATTACGGAACACTTAATTGTACTCTTGAGGAACCTGTACATAGACCAGGAGGCTGTCGTTCAAACAGAACAATACTGCATGGTTTAAAATCGGGAACGGATTGTGTCATGGTTGTATCATTTCAACATATTTATTCAATCTATACGCTGAACAAATAATCCAAGAAGTTGGATTATATGTAGAAGAACATGCCATCAGGATTGGAGGAAGACTCATTAACAACCTGTGATATGCAAACAACACAACTTTGCTTGCTGAAAGTGAGGATCACTTGAAGCACTTTCTGATGAAAATTAAAGACTGTAGTCTGCACTACGGATTACACCTCAATAGAAAGAAAACAAAAATCCTCACAACTGGACCAATAAGCAGCATCATGATAAATGGAGAAAAGACTGAAGTTGTCAAAGACTTCATATTACTTGGTTCTATAATCAACACCAATTGAAGCAGCAGTTAAGACATTAGATGCCGTGTTGCATTGGAAAGATCTGCTCCAAAAGAACTCTTTCAAGTGCTGAAGAGTAAAGATTTCTCCTTGAAGACTAAGGTTCACCTAACCTAAGCTATGGTATTTTTAATCACCTCATATGTATATGAGAGCTGGACAATGAACAAGGAAGACTGAAGAAGAGTTGATGCTTTTAGTTGTGGTGTTGGTGAACAATACTAAAAGTACCATGGTCTGCTAAAAGAACTAACAAATCTGTCCTGGAAGAAGTGCAGGTGGAATGCTCCTTGGAAACGAGAATGGCCAGACTTTGTCTGACCTACTTTGGTCATGTTGTCAGAAAGAACCATTCCCTGAATGATATCATGCTTGGTAAAGTGGAGGGTCAACAAAAAAGGGGACAGCCCTCAACAAGATGGATTGACACAGTGGCCTGCAACGATGGGCTCAGGTATACCAGGGATTGTGGGGCTTGTAGGACCAAGCAGTGTTTTGTTCTGTTGTACATAGATAGAGTCGCTATGAGCTGGAGATATCTGTATGGCACCTAACAATAACAGCAAGTCATTTAAAATATTAAAGTAATAGAAAAAAAAAAACAAACTTTACCAATATTCTTAGAATAGTTAAAAGTGATAGTTAAAATTACTCTGTCTATAGAACAATTTTCTTTTTATGACTTCCTTTTAAATACTATTTTTCTAAATAGCTTTGCCAGATAGCAAATACTATATATTCTTCCTTTTATATGTTTAAATGTCTTAAAGTTTTTTCCAAACTTTAATAGAAAAATAAACTTTGAAAACTCATGGCAATAAAAGGTCTCATGTAACAATATAATTAATGGAATAAAGGTATATGTCTCTCAAGAGCCAGTCACTTTTGAGCCAGTATGACAAAAACTGTGGGGTATGCAATTTTAATATTACCTTCTTTATAAATAAAAGTAAATTATTTAACATGTTGCCAGAAATTTAAGCTCAAAGTTTTTACTGTTGGTTAACAGTCATATTGAAATGTGAAAAATACCTAACTAGAGCTTATTTCATAGTTGAGGTCAATTCCCTCCAGAATCATTTCACCACAAAGGGAAAGGTCCAAGAATTTAAAGCCAACAACTGCAGGAAATACTACTTCTTCTTAAGGTTTTAACTGGTAAACTAGACCTAGTTAAGTGCTGCTAAATTACACCATCCTATGCAAGCAATGGCACCAAATGTGAATAGTTGGTGACTTCTGTGCCTTTGAAGAAACTTGTTATTAAAAGAGTTATGTGGTTGGATGAGAGCAAGTCTACATTGCATTTTAATAAAAGGAAATAATAACAAAACAAGAAATAATATATCAATTTTAAAAGCTTTCTTTGATGAGATTAAATCAACAGAAGGAATTATGTACACTTAGTTATTTAAAAATTTTGTAAAATTGGTGCAATATAACATAAGGTATCCTAAGACTAATAAAAGAATATATATACATTGCTATCTTGAAAGTGGGTTGTTAGATTAAATGGAAAGAACTTAAAACACTTTAGAAAATCTCCAGCATCACCAGATGTCTTATATCATTAACACATTATGCTATATGAAAAAGTGATTCATGTTCATTGATAAAAAAAAGTTGTCATAATTTCTTACAACGCTTTTCAAGTAGCACAATATGGAAGCAAAGGGATTAAGATTTCAAAGATGTGATTTACAGTCCTTGCCCTTATCTGTAAATGAAAAAGCAATACTTCTCCTTCTGTCATTTCACAGGGTCATTGTAGTGATCATGAGATTAACATGGGTTTAAAATGAGCTCAACCATTTTAAAATAGGAAAAGAAAAAAACATTTTCAAATCAGGGTTATTTTATGTAAAACCTCAATTTATCAATTCAATTGAACAGCAACAACAAAAGTTGTTGTGGCTGAAGCTAGGTTGGAAAATCACTGTTAACTAGAGTCTTCCTGTCCCCCTTACATACTCCAAGATTGCTACAAACTCTAGATTCCAAAACTTATGAAAAACAATTGGTTTAAGTGGTGGTTAAAAGTGGTTAGTTTCTCATATTGGTAATCACAGAAAATTGGCTCTGGAGGACTTCAAATAAGTTTTAAACAACTCTAATAAAAGTTGAGTAGATGCTTTTATTAAAAGGATTTTCAGACCTTTTAATATGCTGATTCCCATAGTAAGGAGTAATTCTCACAATTTGTCCAGGAATCCCTTACTACCCTCCTAAAATAACTCAAGAATTTCCATCTCTTGAATTAGTGCCCTAAATGGGACTATTTATAAATCTGTCTTAATTCTTTGAAGGAAAAGCACATTTACACAACAATGATTAACTGATTAATATTAAATATATGATTGAATTTTAAAACTATAAATTCCTTAAAATGAGATCTTTTTTTACCTTTTGATTTCTTTTTCCTGAGGGCTTGAAATCATTAACTTTGCTTTGTTATTTTTATCAACAAAGGCTTTCTGTACTTCATAGGCTTTTAATTTTTCTTTTAACATTAAAATCTAGTAGACAGAAAACACTAGTTAAAATACAAATCAAGTCTCCATTATATATGACCATCATTCTAAAGGTATAATAAAATTTTACCAGTGAAAAATAACTGAGTATTATATATGTAATAAAAATATTTCAGTTATATAAAAATTTATTAAATTTTAGAACAATTAAGATTGCAGAGTCCTATAAATTGAGGGAGATTAGCACAATAATGCAAGTAGACATACCTCTTTCTTCTGCTCATTACAGATCTTTACATATTGAGTTATATGATTGTTGAGACTAAGAACATTGCTCTTCAACTGTTAAAAGAATTTATAAATGAGTATACAAAAATAATAATCAGATATATACACACACAAAATGGCATTATGTCCTCATTCTGACACCACCAATTCAGAATTTGAGATAATTATTAGGTGACAATCATCATCAGTTATGTTCATGCTTAAAATCTATTACAAGAGGATATGATGAACACATTAATAATGTAAATAAAATTATAAGGAAATTGTTTTACCATTTAAGATACTTTAAACTACCTGAAAAGCAAATATTCACAATACAAATTGCCCACTTCCTATTTTCTTTGATTTCTAAGAAATTCAGAGTTAATTTTATATAATAGTCATTCACAAGTTCAATGAGGTTTTAGTTTTTTATTTTCTCCTTTTTATAATGGTATGGGTTCTCTGGAAGCCACAGAATAGTGAAGAGAACATTAAACACCTAAGTTCAAATTCTTGATTTTGAAGCCCTGCCCACTTCTCACTTAACTAGAGCTAGCAATAAGAGCTAGGCTTCCCAACTCTCAGCGCATGTATGTGTATACATATATACATACACACGTATAGTATATATACTTAGAGTTAATTACTTAGAAGTCTCTGAGTATTGCCTTCCTCACCTGCGAAATGAAGCTAAAAAATGCCTTCTTAAATGGGTTAGTTTACGGATTACATTACAAAGTATTTAAAAACTTTTTGTAAGTCTATATAGAGGGATCTTTCCTAACTAATCATATAATATATGAACATTTCTCTAAGGATGACAATAATGTGCTCATCTTCAAAAATTTAATGGGACTGGCAGAGAGGTAAAGGGCAAGAGTCGTCATCATACCAGTTTAACTCTATGTCTCTTCCAATCTGAGATCTGTGTTTTTAAGCATCCCAAACTCTTGGCAAAAATAATGAACTAACCAATCATTATCTTATTTCTGGAGAACAGAGATTGATTACACCAACAACACAAATGTAGAAAGAAATTCTTTAGAAAAGGCTATTTACTTTATAAACTTATATAAAATCCTAAAAGTGAGATAAAAGGAAGTAATATAATACCTACTTTGTGCCAGGTAGGCATCTGATAACTTACATGCACTATTCCACTTAGTTGTTACAATTACACTATGAGGTAGATATTATACCTATTTTACAGAAGAAATAACTGAAGCTTGGAGAGATTAATATTTTCAAGTTACACAGGCAGAAAGTGTTGGTTTGGGCTAAAGCAGAGCATCATCCTTGGCTGCTGTAAATGTGTTACAGGTTTGGTGAGAAACTGATCCGCTCAGGTAACATCTATGTAGCCATATATCTTGGCTGAATACTCCAGAGTAACAACCAAATAGAATGTGCCATCATAGAAAAAAGGTTGGGAAGAAAGGTACTATAGCATTCTACCTCCCAAAATATTTAATAATAGAATAGTAACTATTTTTACATAAACAAAATGCTTAATAGTTTAACTGTCTGAGCTAATGCTGAATTAACTAGGTCAACAAACATTTCTAATTCTCAGGTTTCTAACTCATTAGAAACACATACCTAATTAATAATTTCATTATAATTGTAAAAATAATATACATCCAATAATTAACAAAGGCAGAGTAAACACACTTACAGAAGATTTAATTTCCTTTGCACGGTTAGCATACTTAAGAGTATTGTATGTGTCATCGTAGAACACAGAGGAAGGACTAATAGCAGCTATCATTATAGTTTGACAGTTTCCTCCAAGAGAATCCTTTAACAAGCGAGTGAGCTTACTATTTCTGTAAGGAATATGCTGATTCTTTCTCTGAAAGAACAAAAAAAGAATTCTTATGTCATTTTCAAATTTAAATGCAACTTGCTACTACTTCTCTATAAGATTTAAGAATTGCTCAACTTTGCCCAGACTTAAAGATGTAATTGGTGATCCAACTGGTGATAATGAATCTTTATGAACTATTCACTGAATACATAAAACAAATACCTTATTTAAAAATTACATCTCCACCTGAATAAGAATGGACTTTAATTAGTAATGATGTATCAATATGACTTCATTATTTGCAATAAATGGTCTATACTAATGTAAGATGTTTAACAACTGGAAAAACTAGGTTTAGGATATATGGGAACTTTCTCCATTATCTGCAACTTTCCTGCAAATCTGCAACTATTTTAAAATAAAATGTTCATTTAAAAATATTTCCATTATTTCTTAAAAGGAATAAAGATATAAAAGTAAACATATATGCCCTATGTTATATATAAATATACAAGGAGGGTGGTCAGTGTGGGAGAATCAGATGTGATTCTCGTCCAATGCACCTCAAGTACAACCACGACTCACCATTCTTCTGTTAGCAGAGGCTTGCATGTTGCCATCATGCAGAACAGATGTCGATGGAGTTTCCAGACCAATATAGATTAGGAAGAAAGGCTTGCAAATTTACTTCTGCAAAATCATCCACCGAAAACTCTATGGATCACAAGGGTCTGATCCCGCTGTGCATGGGGTTGCCATGAGTGCGGAAATGGTTCAATGAAAGCTAACAACATACAAATATACTAAAGAAACTAACTCATTGTCGTCGAGTTGATTCCAACTCATAGCGACCCTTTAAGACAGAACAGAATTGCTCCATAAGGGTTTCTGAGGCTGTTATCTTTATGGGAGCAGAGTACCACATTAATCTGTTACAGAGAGGCTGGGGGGTTTGAAGTGCTGACATTTCAGTTAGCAGCCGACTGCTTTAACCACTGAACCACTATGGTTCCTTTACAAATATGTTACAGGAATAATAAGAATTCTGCACAGCATAGAGCTATTTCTCTTGTTAAATAACCACCTAACACAGACATAAAATAAATTATAATTACCATCTCAGAGATACTTCACCTGAACCTCTAAAAAAATCAAACCAAACCATGGCCATCAAGTCAATTTCAACTTATACAGACTCTGTAAGGACAGAATAGAACTGCCTCATAGGGTTTCCAAGGTTGTGAAGCCATATGGAAGCAGACTGCTGTATCTTTATCCTGCAAAGTGGCTAGTGGGTTCAAACTGCTGACCGTTTGGTTAGCAGCTGAGTACTTTAATGCTGGCACCAATAAAGTTCCCTTAAAACTTAATTTTTCCAGGTTTTCTTTTATTTAAAAGATACGAGTCTGATTTTAATGTAAGAAACAAATCTTCCAAAAGTATTTCCATAGAAGCAGCATGGAGATTCCTTAAACGTTGGAACTAGAAATACCATTTGATCCAGCCATTCCATTACTAGGTATATATCCTAAAGAAGTAAGAGCCATGACAAGAACAGACATATGCACACCCATGTTCATTGCAGCACTATTTACAATTAGCCAAAAGATGGAAACAACCTAGGTGTCCATCAACTGAGGAATGGATAACCAAAACACACAATGGAATACTATGCAACCCTAAAGAATAATGTAGAATCTGCAAAACATCACATAATGTGGACGAACTTCCAAGACATTATGCTGAGTGAAATAAGTCAATCACAGAAGGACAAATATTATATTACTCAGTTATTGTAAAAGCCTAGGAACAGTTTACATATGGAAGGAAATTTTCTTTGTTGGTTACCAGGGATGGGAGGGAACACTGTTAGATAGGTAGAGATAAGTATTAATTTGGGTGAAGAGAAGGGCAATGTACCAAATGTGAGTGATCAACATGGTGGCATTGAGGCAGACAGAGAGAGGGACATGGGAGGTGCAGACAACAAAGATGAACCCTTTTGCACATAGAGTACTGCGTTGTCAGTGAAGGCAAATATGGGTATACTGCTGGATAGGTGGGTGGATAGGCTGAACTATTAGGTGTATCTATGCAGCAGTGAGTGTACCCAAGACCATGTATAGGGTTGGCAGACAATGGTTCTACAAGTGTATTTGTATGTTTTGTGAGAATCCCCAGGGGTATAGTAGAGCTGACAAGGGACAAAGTTGTAGTCACTTCTTGGTCACAGCCAGCTACCCAGAGGGCGCGAGTAGTTGAATCTGTGGGCTCGGGACCACAGTCGCAGGGGACATCAAACTCAACTGGCATAACACACTACACAAAACATTGTTTCACTTCCTACTTAGGCGAGTAATGACTGGGATCTTAAAAACTTGCAAGCAGCCATCTAGATGCAACAATGGGTCTTGCCTCGTCCAGAGCAAAAAAGAATGAAGAAAACAAAAAATCCATGGAAACAATTCGTCCTCACGACTGGTACACTATGCGATCCTCAGCCTATATGACTATGAGACCAGAAGAACTAGATGGTGCCTGGCTACCACTGTCAACCATTCTTAGTGGGATCTACATAGAAGATCCTGGATAGAGAGGGAGAACAATGTGGAACAAAACTCAAAATCATTGGGGGGTGGGGGGGTGGGGAGAGGTGGGACTAGATTTCCTGGTCTGATAGAGTCTGGTGGAACCACTGAGACTATGTTCCCTAGCTGCCCTTCAGGTCTGGAATTGAAAGCATACCTGTGGTTTCCAGCCAAACAAAAGACAGGCATATGAGTTGAACATGTACCTGAGGTACATACACTCCTTGGAGAGTATGATCATGGGAGAAAGAAGGGCTGTTTATGCACAGGGAGACAGATGAGGGGACAGGAATGCATGGAGGGAGGGACACAGGGAAGAGGTAACTATTGGGAGGAATGGGAGGGGAGCTTTTGCATTAAGGTAAATTATAGTCAATGTCATCAGGCAACAGGTGTGTGAACTGCTATATGGAAAGTGAATTTGCTCTGTAAACTTTCACCCAAATCACAATTATATATATATATATAATAAAAGTACTTCCATGTAAAAAACTGATTATTAGTTACAACATTAAGGTAAATGCAACCTACTCAATATAAACATTTCATATTACAAAAGAGAAAATTAAGCTAAGCAAAAAGTGACATGACTTGCCCCAAGTCACACAATTTGTAATTCAGACCTAGAAATAAGAGCTAGGTTTCCCAACTCCCAGTAGTACTATGCTCTTCACCACAGCAGTCTTTGCTAAACAGTATAAAATATGCAATGTTATTACTACCTGAAATTATTTCACATATATGGGACAACCATTAAGCACTGATAAAGTGATGAAGATGGCTTCTTATAACTTTCTTTTAATGTTTTCTGATTCTTCAAATACAAAGGAGTAAGTTGTGGTAGTGTCTTTAACATTTGTTGTAGAGTTAGAAAATTAAATTTTGTCTTTCATTGTTTCCTGAAAAATAACTCTAAGCCACTGAATTTTCCTGAGTAATGAAGGTACTTTTGGTAACTTAACACTTAAAAGTCTGTGCAAATGACTGTGGGGCACAACTCACAAAAATCACATAGTTGCCAGATATCAGCTGACCTCAAAGAGGTCAAGCCTATACAATGAAGCCTTGATAAAGATTTTGGACATGAAATGCTTGAGCTTCCTGGGTGGTGAAAGACATCGGTGCAAGAGGAGAGTAGAGCACCCCTTGGGATGTGGTAGCTCACCATTGGGAAGTCTCCTAGACCTTATCCTGAGCGTTCTTAAGTATATCCTTAAAAAAAAAAAAAGTATCAAATGTGTTCCTATTTAACAATTGCTACATATGATCTCAATATAACCTTGATTGCATTCCACATGAATGCAGAGATGATCTGAAGAGTAGATTTGAAGCGCTGAACACCAATGACTGAAAATCAGACAACTTGGGGGATGACATCAAGAACATACTACATGATGAAAGCAAAAGGTCATTAAAAAGACAGGAAAGGAAGAAAAGAACAAAATGGGTATCAGAAGAGACTGAAACTTGCTTTTGAATGGAGAGTAGCTAAAGTAAATGGAAGAAATGCCAAGATAAAAGAGCTGAACAGAAGATTTCAAAAAGCAGCTTGAGAAGACAGTCAATTATTATCATGAAATGTGCAAAGACCTGGAGTTAGAAAAGCAAAAGGGAAGAACTTGCTCTGAATTTCTCAAGCTGAAACAAATGAAAAAATGCCTTGAGTTGCAATAATGATGGATTCCATGGGACAAATATTGAATGATGCAGGATGTATCAAAAGAAGATGGAAGGAATACAGAGAATCATGGTACAAAACAGAATTGGTTGATGTTCAACGACACTAAGAAGTGGCATATGATCAAGAACCAATGGTAATGAAGGAATAAGTCAAAACTGCACTGAAGGGATTGGTGAAAAACAAGCCTCCAGGAATTGATGGAAAACCAATTAAGAAGTTTCAACAAATGGATGCTGTGCTCAGGGAGCTTACTCGTTAATGCCAAGTAATTTAGAAGACAGCTCCCAGGCCAAGTGACTGGAAGAGAATGGTATCTTTCTTTTGCCCATTCAAAAGAAAGGTGATTGCACAGAATGTGGATATTATTGAACATTATCATTTGTATCACACTCAAGTAAAATTTTGCTGAAGATAATTCAAAAATGGTTTTGGCAGTATGCTGACAGGGAACTTTCAGAACTGTGAAGCTGGATTCAGAAGAGGATGTGGAACGAGGGATATCATTGCTGGTATCAGATAGACCTTGGCTGAAAGTAAAGACTACCAGAAAAATGTTTACTTTTGTTTTATTGACTACACGAAAGCATTTGACTGTGAATGAAAACAAATTATGGATAACATTGAGAAGAATGGGAATTACAGAGCACTTAACTGTGCTCATGAGAAACCTGTACACAAACCAGGAGGCTGTCGTTTGAACAGAACAAAGGGATACTGCATGGTTTAAAGTCAGGAAGGGAGTGTGTCAGGATTGTATCCTTTCGCCGTACTTATTC